TTTTTGCTCAGTAACCTGTTCAAGACTAGTGTGTTACTTCACAAACTGGTCTCAGTACAGAGCAGGAACTGCTAAATACCTTCCTGAGAATGTGGACCCAAACTTGTGTACTCATTTGATCTATGCATTTGCCATTATAAACTATGCCAATAACATAGCAGGCAGCGAGTGGAATGATGTGGCCCTTTACTCAACCTTCAATGCACTTAAAAACCCGTAAGGATGCTTGTAGCTCAGAAACACATATTTCTAGTTTTGTATTCATATTTGATTAGTCAAATGTCTGCTGTGTGACAAAGACTTGACATAAATGTTTGTTTCAGAAATCCTCAGCTGATAACCTTGTTGTCCATCAGAGACCAGGACTCAAACCAGTAAGTGTCTGTTTTCTGTTTCTGAATATAGGTTGCCTTCTACTGGTAACATGCCATTTTTATATCTTATAAAACTTTTTTGTTTGTTTGTTTTTTACAAAAACATGGCTTGTCAACAAAGATTATGATTATTCCTAAATGAGTGTATTTTGCAATTAATCTGAAATATTTCTAAGCCACATTACCAGTTATAGTGAAATAAACAGTCATGAATTTACTTGTACCCACCAGATTCTCCATTATGCTGTCCAACTGGACAAACCGTCAGACATTCATCAAGTCTTCTATAGAATTTCTGAGAAAGCATAACTTTGATGGGCTGGATTTGGACTGGGAACACAAAGGCACTTCAGACACGCATCCAGAAGATAAGCTGAAATTCACTCTACTGTGCAAGGTTAAAATTAAAAGTACCTTTTCATATGTTGCTCCAAGAGTTTTCCATTGAATCATAAGAGGTGAGAGAAACCTTATCTGTGTAAAAATATTAGTGGTAGAGGTCACATAAATATATACAATACCATTCAAAAGTTTGGGGTTGTTAAGAATTTTTGTATTTATATATTTTTGAAAGAAGTATCTTAAACTCACCAAGGCTGCAAAAATACAGTGAAAACAGTTATATTATGAATATTTACAATAACTGTTTTCATTAAATTATATTTTAAAATGTAATTTATTCCTGTGATGGCAAAGCTGAACTTTCAGCAGCCATTACTCCAGTCTTCAGTGTCACATGATCCTTCAGGTTTATGCTTAAAATAAAAAAAATTAAAAAATGAATAATAATAAAACTATTTGCTAAAGTACTAAATTTGATCTTTTGTCAAACTTCAGGAACTTCTGGAAGCATTTCTAGCTGAAGGCCAGTCAACCAAAAATGCAAGACTGGTTTTAACAGCAACTGTTTCAGCACAGAAAGAAGTTATTGAAAGGAGTTACAATATTCCAGAGATCTCAAAGTAAGAGCAACATGTCATTCAGTGTCAGTGCTGTCTTATTACAATTACAAAAATCACACAACAAAAACTAAATGTTTAAAAATGTAAAAACTTTTTGTTTTAGGTACTTGGACTTTATTAGTGTCAAGACATTTGATTTTCATACATTTAAAGATGGCATTGCAAGACATCACAGCCCTTTGTACAGTGCCATCCATGACAAGGAGGACATCAACTCAAACACCGTAAGCAAATTGACTCTTGTATGAGCACGGGCTTTAATTTAACTTTAATTTGCTACTGGGTAGTTTGCATGTTTTCATCTTTGATGCAGGATTTTGCTCTGCAATACTGGAGAGTCCAGGGAGCTCCTGCAGGGAAGTTGTTGATGGGCTTTGCCACGTATGGACGTTCCTTCATCCTCACCTCCTCTCAGAGTGGAGTTGGAGCCCCAGCTAATAAGTTGGCTTCTCCTGGCCCTTATACACAAGAGATGGGCTTGTGGTCTTACTTTGAAGTAAATCTCATAGACAAAATCTTTTGTTTGATATTTTTTCATATTCATTGCAAATGCTTGTTGGGTATATCAAGTTAAGACATATTTTCTTTTTTCAAGATATGTCTTTTCCTCAATGGTGGTGTAGTACAGTGGATAGAAGACCAGAAAGTTCCTTTTTCTATTAAAGGCAGTGACTGGGTGGGCTTTGATAATCTGAGGAGCTTTGAGATTAAGGTACATTCTGCTACACACTGGAACATATTTTGATGTTTAAATTCATAGGCTATGTTACATGAAAAATAACAGCTCTGCTTTTTATTGTTAAGATGAAATACTTACAGGAACATAGCTTTGGGGGTGCATTTGTATGGGCTTTAGACCTGGATGACTTTTCTGGATATTTCTGTGGACAAGGCAATTACCCTTTAGTCAACCATCTGAAGAAATGGTTAATACTTGGTGAGATTTGCATAAATACATTGTTTTGATTTTTAGAATGGTTAATTATCTTCAGATTCTGATATGTGATTATTTGCTGCAGGAGCAAAAGATGAATTGGATGGTTCCATGACTACAAGCTCTTTTGCAACAGTTGGGAAGGGCTCTTCATCACGGCCAACATGTGTGAAGATTCTCAGCTCTCTTCCAGCATTGACAAGTCAGTTCTGTGCAAACAGATCAGATGGACTTTATCAAAGAATGGATTCCCTTAACTCGTTTTATAGCTGTACTGGAGGAATGACAAATATCACCTGGTGCACCCCTTCCATTTCAAATAATTCTGGGGCAGCACAACCATCACAAATGATCATTTTTATTGCATTAGGAAGTGCAAGTCTCTTTGCCAGGTGGCATAGCCTATTTTAGGAGTAATGTACTGATTTAATATAAAACATAGATGGAAAGATAGCTCAGCACAATTTTTTTAAATCTGTAGCTTAATAGAACAGGTCGTAGTCTACATATGGATGCATGTGGAGTACTTGTGAGTAGTTGTGGTTGTTACTGTGAAATTGTTTCTTAATTCTTACAAATTTGCCTAATTTATCATTTTAGTCAATAGTCAAGCAACTCATTTTGAGTAGAGTAAGGTGTTAGAGTGGATGTTAAAACAAAATTGTTTTGACAAATTGCCTTTGCACATGTAATGTGAAATAGAATATATATTGTATGCATTTATGGGAAAACATGTAGATAATTATTATTTGAATTTTCTTTGTATTTTTAATCATTGTATCGTTGGCGTCATTAAAAATAATACATTCAAATCTAAGAGAGCAACATTGTCTGTGTATTTTATATCAATTGTAGTCTATAGGTGAACTTTTTGTTATTCTGCAGTGTGAGGGGTGTGTTTCCTGAAAGCACTATGGTCACAAGTTCTGTTGTTACCAATAGTGGAACTTGCCACCTTAGTTGGTTAACAATGCTTTTGGGAAAAGCACCCCTGTGTGATTTTAGAATCAGTTACACATCGTACAAAATGTTGCTTTTATTCTTTTCATTAGAGTATTTTATCGCACACAGTCATTCTTGAGAAGTGGGACAAAACATGGTGCAAAATTGAAAAAAATAAAACAGATAAATGAAACTACATTTATGTATCTTATATGTACTAAGCTACTGAGCTATGCTTTGATACAACCTCCCAACTTTTCTCTTTTTTAACAAAATGTGCTTTTTTACCTTGAATTGTGTAATATAATTTCAGCTTTATCTTTAACAGCATTCAAGATGTTTTTAACATTTCAAAACACATTCTCGTGTTAGCAGACAGATTACACTTTCACATGTGACCAACAATTCCACAACAAATATAAAATATCATAATGAAATATTATCAAAATATTCAACTGACGGAGTTGACACATCTGATGGTGGTGACGAAAACCTGAATTTTAACTATCAAATACATTGAATCGGTCAATTACTGTATTAAAACAAACAGTGAGTATGTTATTGTTTATAAAGCTTTTATTCAAGAGTCACATTGAAGTATTTTGATATATCATTGGAACACAAAATCTTATGGTGGTGACATCTGACAGTGTTGACAAATTTGGCATTTCTTTCACAAAACCAATTAAGTTTATGTAGTAGCCATTTTATTGTTTGCTGTTCATGCTAGATGCTAATGGAACCTGCTTCAGGAGAATACAATTATCTAAATATTTCAAATAATTTCCTCAGAAATTGGAAGATGGTGTTGACATATCATGGCTGTGACAAAGGAAATATTAACATTAGGATTTAAAATATTCTAAAACTATAAAACTTAGCAGAGCCTGTCTGACACTGATGTACTCTGCAGAGGTGAACTGTGGCAAGGGGGTCCTTTAGAGTGACAGCTGCCCCTGATATTCCCTGATTTTATAAAATTTTATTGAATGTCTGACGGTGTTGACAAAAACTGGGGACGCAACTTTAAAATCGTATTAAACATGCATGTGTCATTAAAAAACAACCTTGCTTTGATGGGAGATATTATTAAGTGTTGCTTTTGATAAAACAAGCTCTTTTTCATCATTAAAAAAAAACATTTTTATCAATTTTATTGCATATGAATGATTGAACCCTTCTCTGTAGACACAATGTTTTAGATGTAGTGAGAGGACATTAAGAAACATAGATTTGGTATAAAAATGAGAAAATTAAATTGAAGGTAACAATTGTGTTAAATACATTCTATTATTAATCCCTCATGACATTTAAAATTGAAAATATTTTTATTTTTAAACCTAATCGCAGTTACCCTTGCTGAACCTGTTTTGTCCCATGTCTCAAGAATGACTGCACAGTATATAGTGGGACTACTTTTTCTAACCCTGACTCATGTTTATTTTTAATTCTTAATCTCCAATAATAATTTTTACTCATTCTCATTTTCTTCCAAATCTTTATACATTTATTCTGCTTAACACAAAATAAATATTCTTTTTAATAAGCCTTCTGCAATTCCTCACACAATCTCTATGGCTCCAGAAGACATAGAGGATAGAAGATATAGCACACAAGTCGTTTGGACAACTTTTATGATAATATATTGCGCTTTTTCCTCTGATTTGACCCAATTGCCAGAATTCAATTTCACCTTTTGTGTAGAATAAAGAGTTTTATTCGACACAGTGTTTTTGTTTTTTTTGTGAACTATCCCTTTAACGAATCTGTCCATCAGGTTGACGTCTATGCGAGCACTTTTCTGCCTGGACAGCCGGGCGCCATTTTGTTCGCCTGTGGAGCCGAGAAGGGAAATCCTGTCCAGGAGCGTCGACCACTCTTCATGCACCAAACCGAACATACTTAATTCCAGTCGGTATAAACTGGTAATTGTCAACGCTTTATTTGAAGTAATTGAACATTGTATTTATTCATTCATTTACTTAATTTAGGTAACGTTAAGTGTAGTAGTTGTGCTAAAGTTAACAACATGCTAACGTTACCCGAAGTTATCAACATGCTATTCGAAAGTCATAGAACACTGTGTTATTTTAACGTACACAGCTTTCAGGCTTAATAATATACAAATCATTTGTTCTTTAAACGTTTCTTGTCTCAGTGTTTTTCATCTGACAACCTTCATTGTTAAATAAGTCAGACCAAACATTACACTAAGGCCTAACGTGACGAATGAAGAAGAACAAATCTTGTGAACAGTGGATTTAATTCCAAATGCAACTTAGTAACTTTACGTCGTAATCGAACTTTTGAAAAACTAAATGGAAACAAAAGCGTTTTTCAGTAATTCGAATCACGATTGTTTTTGCTGTCCTTTCGCTTTGGGTTAATTCTAAGCGTGTAGATTAAGTAATAATATATATTTTTCATCTGTAAAAATGTTTCTAAAATATTTGAGATTTAAAAACGCAGATTTTGTAAACTGCACCCTAAATTTACAGGTGCGGACGCAAAATCTGCGAAATATTTATTCAGATAATACCAATTTTAAAACTTGATAAATATGGTTTATCATGCTCGAAAAAGAAACCCAAGAACCAAAATTAGTTAAAATACTAAACTGTCTGCACAATCTCAGGTTGTTTGTTATGTACTGTCACCTATTGTTGTGTCCAATCACATGGTATATAAATCTAAAAACATGTTCTGTCTCCATTGAAAATATATTCCATGTATTAAAATATATTGTGTTCCTTATACAAATAACCGTTTGTTCAGCACATGGGGAGTGTTTTTGTCTCTTTTTTTAAATGTAGGTTATGCAAGATCTTGTCCTTCATTCCAGAGGATAGCTGGATTTGGATAATGATTTAGCTTCCCTGAAGATTGCTGCCTTTTTAATCTCACCGTTGGCTTTTGTTTTTCCTCTATTGGGCTTTTTTATATATATATAGTTCCAGTCTACCCCCCTTTCAAATTTCCTCCCACCTTCAAGAGACGTAGAAGAGATCCCTTCTTTTTGTTTTTTCTTTCCAACATCTCCAAGATATCCAGTCCCATGTTTTGCCCTGGGCTCTCCTTTTTTGACAACATCTTGCTTGAGGATTTTTAAACTACCCCAAACCCCCTCACCACTCAATTATCAACAATATTGGAGAGAAAGAAAAAAAAAACGGACATTTTCCACCACATGCCAATTTTAACACAGCAGTCTGATGGGAACAAGTCTCTAAGAGAGGCAAAAGTTGCCCCATCTCCCCCTGTTCAGTCTTTACTCATCAGTCAAGTGTTCCTTCAGGATCCACACAGTGCGGAGCGACTCTTCAAGAAGCACTTGAGATCACCAGGGAACGTCTCAGCCACTGCAGGTGAACGAAGTTCTTGCAAAGCATTCTCTCTCCAGTATTAGTATATCGGCCATTTAGCATCATTCAGGACAGAAAGTGAAAATGTGAAAGGATCAACAGGAGCATGAATAGGCTTGTAACACTCTAAATAGGGAGATTCACGTGGACCCTGTCGCAGGACGAGATTGCAACATCACTGAAGAGCTCCTGACCTAGAAGACTACAAACTTGTGCCAGAATGACCATGCAAGGAGATGACTGCTACTTCTACTATTATTCCACCTGTACTAAGGTAAGTGTAAAAAGTCACATCTCCTTTGCATTTAGAAATTTCCCTATTGTTGAAAGCTGATTTTGAGTTTTTAAGTAGGTCATTAAATTATATATACACTACCGATCAAAAGTTTGGGATCAGAACGATTTTTTATGTTTTTTACAGGAGTTTTTTTATGCTCATCAAGGCTGCATTTATTTGATAAAAAATACAGGGAAAAATGTAATATTGTGAAATATTATTATGATGTAAAATAACGTTTTAATATACATTAAAATCGAGTCTATTCCTGTGATGCAAGGCTGAATTTTCAGCATCATTACTCTAGTCTTCAGTGTCACATGATCCTTCAAAAATCATTCTAATATGCTGATTTATTATCAGTGCTGGAAACTGTTGTGTTGGTTGATATTTTTTTGGAACCTGTGATAATTTTTTTTAAATGAATAAAAAGTAAAAAATAAGAGCATTTATTTAAAATAAATATTTTCTAACGATATACACTACCGTTCAAAAGTTTGGGGTCAGTACATTTTTATTTTTTTTTTTTTTTTTTTTTTGAAAGAAATTAAAACTTTTATTCAGCAAGGATGTGTTAAATTGTTAAGAAGTGATAGCAAAGATTTATATTTTTAGAAAAGATTTATATTTTGAATAAATGCTGTTCTTTTTTAAGTTTTTATTCATCAAAGAATCCTGAAAAAAGTATAGCAGTTTCCAAAAAAGTATTTGGCAACACGACTGTTACCGACATTGATAATTCTAGTAATAAATCAGCATATTAGAATGATTTCTGAAGGATCATGTGACACTTTATACTGGAGTAATGGCTGATGGAAATTCAGCTTTGCATCGCAGAAATAAATTATATTTTAAAGGATATTAAAATGGAGACCATTATTTTATGTTGTAATAACATTTTGCAAGATTACAGTTTTTTTTTTGTGTATTTTAGATCAAATAAATGCAGCCTTGATGAGCATAAGAGGCTTCTTTAAAAAAACATTACAAGTCTTACTGATCCCAAACTTTTGACCGGTAGTGTATATATATATATGTGTGTAGATGTATATATACTTTTTGAAAGTGTTTTATTAAATATTTTAAATAAAGTTATTTATTAATATTAAATGTAATATGATCAAATATAGGGCTGGGTAAAAAATATCGATATCTCGATATTAATCGATTCTCATTTTTACAGAACAATATCGATTCCTAAATCCCAAGAATCGATTAGTCTAGCCTGTTTTCACTTAATGGACGGAACATTGAAGGGCACTTCTCATCCAATAAATCACAATAAGCATTGTGCTTTGGTACTTTTCATATGAAACAAAGTCTCAGATTTCAAATTCTGTCCATTGTATTGCAGTATTCAAACAATAAATGCCGTTTTGGTGCTGTTTAATGTGGAGTGACTGATCGCTGTAGCGCCTCAGATCAACAGACGCACATGAACTGATCATCTCCTCCACATTAATACCAGTTTCATCACAAAATAAACATGACTAAACGTCCAAAGGTAAGTTAAAAGAAAGAGTGCAACTTTACAATACGTATCCTGTCTCATGCAATCGCTCAATCGGTGTTTCAGCCGCGCAAAGAAGCCAATATAACGGCTTGTAAACAATGTCACGTACGTAACGTCACATTTACCTCAGGAAAAAAAACATATTCGGTGACCATAAACTCGGTCAGATAGAAAAATAAACTGTACAATCATTTTGCTTAATGTATGCACCATAACATATTCATTATAATTTTTACTGTTCTTCAATGTTTAATTTGTTTGAATAAATCCATAAAGTTTTTATGACAGCCAACATTTAAATGTTTATATTTAAAATAAATAAACAAATTGAAGTAGAAATAGCAATATGTAACTAACTTTATTATTGTAAAATCTTCATTAATTTTAACCTTCAATATTATTATAATAATGTTGTACCAACTGACTCGTGTGTATATTTTACAGCATTAGTTGAGATTTTTTCCAATAAATCACAATAAGCATTGTGCTTTGGTACTTTTCATATGAAACAAAGTCTCAGATTTCAAATTCTGTCCATTGTATTGCAGTATTCAAACAATAAATGCCGTTTTGGTGCTGTTTAATGTGGAGTGACTGATCGCTGTAGCGCCTCAGATCAACAGACGCACATGAACTGATCATCTCCTCCACATTAATACCAGTTTCATCACAAAATAAACATGACTAAACGTCCAAAGGTAAGTTAAAAGAAAGAGTGCAACTTTACAATACGTATCCTGTCTCATGCAATCGCTCAATCGGTGTTTCAGCCGCGCAAAGAAGCCAATATAACGGCTTGTAAACAATGTCACGTACGTAACGTCACATTTACCTCAGGAAAAAAAACATATTCGGTGACCATAAACTCGGTCAGATAGAAAAATAAACTGTACAATCATTTTGCTTAATGTATGCACCATAACATATTCATTATAATTTTTACTGTTCTTCAATGTTTAATTTGTTTGAATAAATCCATAAAGTTTTTATGACAGCCAACATTTAAATGTTTATATTTAAAATAAATAAACAAATTGAAGTAGAAATAGCAATATGTAACTAACTTTATTATTGTAAAATCTTCATTAATTTTAACCTTCAATATTATTATAATAATGTTGTACCAACTGACTCGTGTGTATATTTTACAGCATTAGTTGAGATTTTTTTTTTCCTTGAGAAAATTTGGCATGTACTGTACCTGATATGTATCGAAAATCGAATCGAATTGGTAATTGAATCGCAAGCTTGTGAATGAGAATCGAATCGTGAAATTTGTGTCATCCCAGCCCTAATAAAATGACTATGTAAGAAAATTATATATATGAACACATGCACATACTTGCATATATATAAAAGATAATGATCATAATTAAAAATGAATGTTTTGTCTTGTGGTTTACCTTTTAAGGGTGACAGCTGCCCTTTTCGACACTGCGAGGCTGCCATGGGTAGCGAGACGGTCTGCAACCTTTGGCAAGAGCAAAGGTGCTTCCGTAACATCTGCAAGTTTCGCCATATGGAAATAAAGGTTGGTGTTCACTTCCAAAACCCCTTTCTGTTGAGATCGTTCCATTGTTTCTGAAATGGGACCTCAATAATGATCCACCCTGTTATTGTTATTATTTTTTTAGAAAAACCGCAAAGAAATTGCATGCTATTGGGAGAACCAGTCTGCTGGCTGCCAGAAGCCTCACTGTGCTTTCCATCATGAGAAGCCACGCGTCATCGATGGGAATTATTTTGCCCCAGACAAAGGTATTTGGCTGTCTTAACAGTGTTTTGAACTATACTGGTCTTTATTAATATATAATATAAATTGGCCTTTTGTCTTTTTTCTTTTTTTAACAGGGCAAGTAGTGCGAAAGGAGAAGGAAGAGACCCCATATGAGGATCAAGTCAAACAAGTCTCTGTGCCCACTGCAAACCCCACTAACCCGCAGTTAAGAGGGGTCATTAGAACTGAGACCCAAGAGAATGTCCCCAGTCCTACCCATCCACCAGTGGTTATCAACCCTGTGGATGACGATGATGAAGATGGTAAGCTCACATTTCTGTGATGTTTTAACTAGAATTAGGAAAGGGTTGTCCAATCCCATTCGTTGTTGGTTCCAACCCTTAATTATTCCTTGATTAGCTGGTTCAGGTGTTTAATTAGGGTTGGAGCTATGGTCTGCAGATGGACCTTTAAGGGTAGAGTTTAGCATCCCTCATCTAGAAATACTAAATTCTTTTTATTTCAATATTTACAGATCAATTCTCAGAGGAAGGAGATGAATCTCTTGGAGGATCACCCTGGAAAATGATCACAGGCAAAAGTAAAGACTGTTTCCATGTTCTGTACATATTTTCTTTTATTTATTGAGAGCTTTATTAAATCATCATCTGTCATGCAGATGATTCGCTGAACTTTGGTATCCAGACACTAGAGGAGATCAGACTGAGGAAAGCACTCATGGCCAGTCTAAAGAAATCTGGTAAATGAACCCTCTGCACTATTTCTTTTGGGTTATCTGTTAAGACATCTGAAGGATCATTTTAATATTCACTTTTCGTTTGTTTGCAGGGCAGTCCACCATGCAAAGCTCAGCCCAAAACAAAGGAACTGCTATTGAAAAGGAAAACATTAAATCTCTCTCACGTTTGGAAGTTAACAATTCCAGCATCGGTAAGCTGTCCATAAGGTTGAGCTTTGGTTTTTGCAGTATTGAACCATTTAATAATTTTAAAACCCTTTTAAAATCTGTTGCAGATTCATCTGTTAATGAAATTGGAAGAAGAAAAATTACAGACAGACTTGGGGAAAGAATTTTGAAAAGAGGTAAGGTTATGAAAACCGTTTGCTTCACATTGTGGTATACATTTATGTATCTGTGGTCCCTTTTTACAAAAACTGACAGATGATATTTAATTTAAGATGCTTCTGTGGAGGAAGACCTACCATTGAAACGACGCCTTGCTGAACGTCTCGGTAGAATTGTTGAATCTTCCACAAACGTGCTACCACAGAAAGGTGAGAGATTCGTTTATTGTGCCAGCTGTGGTTGTGTGGGTATTTTGTGTCTATTCCATAATTTGTTACTAACTATTTTCAGCTCAGAAACCAGTGCGTGAAAGACTTGGATTGACTGCCGCGCCACCTAGCACTGACAGCGAGCCGAAATCATCTGGAGATATCCATATAAAAACTCTGGAGGAGATTAGGCAAGAGAAGGCAGCCAGAAACCTCAACACGAGTGAAGTTGTGCCTGTTGTGAAAGAAGTGCTGGCAAAGAAGCTGAGCCCATCCAAGAAAAGTGTCAGACCCGTTGGCGGACTTCAGGTTAAGACCTTTTCTGAAATCCTGCACGAAAAGAAAAAAATTCAGGAGAAAAAAGCTCAGGAAGTGAATACAACAGCCAAAAGCCCAGAGAGGAATGAAGGACCTTCCACTGCCGGAGCTGCAGTCAAGGCTCCTGTGACAGCTGGGGAGGTACGAGTAAAAACGCTGGAGGAGATACGCAGGGAAAAGACAGCCCAGATGCAGGCACAGCTTCATGAGCCCACAGACGATAAAACCCAAACCTCAACTGAAGCAGAGGCAAGTGAACCTCCAAAGAGGCGCATTCTACGCATTAATAAAAGCTCACGTAAGTCAGACACATTCATGTTTTTCTAGTTTGAAATGGTTTAAGAATGGCCACATATGCCCAAAGAAGTGTTCACATAGCTGTCAATTCTTTCCAGCAACTGCATACACTGTGGATCAGACAAAACCAGATGCGCCTGATAAGAAACTAGAACCTGCTGCAGAAGTAAGACACAAGACAACAGTCCTAAGGGAATATTATTGTTTCTAGATTAATTATTGTTTGCTCTGTTTTACTCGCAGACAAACGGAAAAGGCAAACCCTCCAGTGAGACTGTTAAAGTGAAAGCGTTTGAGGAGATCATGCGAGAGAAGAGACTCCGCAAGCTACAAGAGGAGCAAGTCACCACCACCACCCAGAAGGATGCAGGACTGTCTGCACCTGCTGCCTCACCGCCAGCCTCTGAACCCTCTGGCCAGCCCCAAACCACAGTGAGACAGCGGATCGCCCTCAAGCACAAGAGCTCTCCACTCCCTGCTGCTGTAGTGCCCCAGAAAAGCTCCCCCGAGCTCTCTGGAGACAGGTCTCCATCGAACACACCAAAGCCGTCAACCTCTCCTGTGATAGCTATCCAGCTGGCTGAGGGAAATATTCAAACAGAGACCAAGGGTATGAATTTAACATGAATTGGTGGTGATATTCAATCTCTATTTAACTGATTATTTAACTCAGTTTTTACATACAGTATTAACAAAAATATAATAAGAATGACAAAATGAAAATAATTATCAAATGCCAGTAATGTTTACAGTAGTACTAATTAGGCATGGGCCGATCACCGGTTTCAAGGTATAACGCGATTTGAAAATTTCACGGATTACGCTAATATTTTCCGTTATACCGTTCCTGCGGTATGCGCTGTTTTTCATGTGTCCTCAAAGACTGAAAGTGTAGGAATCCCTCAGGTTGAGTGCAGTGTAGATAGTAACACGACCCTCCTCCTTCTGTTGGTGCGAGCGAGAGGTCAGTCACGTGTGTGTAGGATGGCCGAGCTTAAGGAGCTTCCCCTGGAACTTACGCGATCGGCAAACGGCCGTTATGTGTCTTATTGCAAGCAACTCGTCTCTGTTCTGGACTTGCACAAACTGCGTTGCAATGCAATCGTTTTCCAAAATGTAATTTATGTGAAAATGAAAATAATTATCAAATGCCAGTAATGTTTACAGTAGTACTAATTAGGCATGGGCCGATCACCGGTTTCAAGGTATAACGCGATTTGAAAATTTCACGGATTACGCTAATATTTTCCGTTATACCGTTCCTGCGGTATGCGCTGTTTTTCATGTGTCCTCAAAGACTGAAAGTGTAGGAATCCCTCAGGTTGAGTGCAGTGTAGATAGTAACACGACCCTCCTCCTTCTGTTGGTGCGAGCGAGAGGTCAGTCACGTGTGTGTAGGATGGCCGAGCTTAAGGAGCTTCCCCTGGAACTTACGCGATCGGCAAACGGCCGTTATGTGTCTTATTGCAAGCAACTCGTCTCTGTTCTGGACTTGCACAAACTGCGTTGCAATGCAATCGTTTTCCAAAATGTAATTTATGTGAAAATATGAAGTCTGTAAACGCCCGTTAACACAGGCCAGAGACGAATCTGAGTGAATCTGTGTCTCATTCAGAGCTTCTGCTGTTTGCTTCAAGCATGTAGTATTTCACAAAGCTAGTCAGAACATTCTGTTTTTGCTTCAAATTGGATTATTAAATCAAATTATGTGTATGAAATTATGTAACTAAATTATATGAAATGATATAAATGAAATGTATATGAATTATATAACTAAAATTAAATAACTGTAATTACAGATTTAGGTTAATTAAATAAAGATGTCAGTCTTTATTTTTCTTTTTAGGAAACAAATCAAAGAAAAAATTAACAAATTCTACTCTGTTCCTAATATGCTGGATGTTGCTCAAAAACAAAATATATTGTGTTCAACGGAAATGTTTATTTTATTGTTTTTTACCCAGTCATTTAAAAATAACACATTTTAGAGCTGTAACGACAATACCGTGAAACCGTGGTATTTTTGCTTAAGGTTATCATACCGTCAACATCTCATACCGGCCCATGCCTAGTACTAATAAAATATAATCTGAAATTTATGTATGTATAAACTAAAATGAACTATCTTCCAAATGTCCTACTCAGTTTGCTGTTTTTCTCTGCATTTCAGTGAAGCCCAAGGTGAATGTAAAGCCGTCAGTAGTGAAGCCAGCAGCCCAGCCTACCCAAAAGAGGAAAGCTGCAAAAATTCGTTCTGCTGTTGCTGAAGTGAAACCTCTTAACACTGCCTGTCAAACACCTTCCTCGCTGGTTATTCCCAACAAGCGCCTTAAGGTGAGCGTTAATTTAGTTAATTATTTTTAAATAAATGTTTTTTTTTTAGCCAAGTCTGGTGTGTCACTGTGTTAGAAAACAAATAGAATACAGTTTGATTATTATTATTATTATTATTTTTTTAATACTCTTTCAGGTGGCGTCACCAGCCTCTCAAGATGTTCAGTCCGACACTCAGCGGGTGCCTTCCAACAAAGAGGATATTCAAATGGTGCCTATGAACTGCGTTGAGCCAGCCAGTACAAAATCACCTGAAATTGTTACGGTCCCCCAAAGGTATGGGAAATCTTTAAGTATTTCAGACATAATACTTATATACACACACACAATTATTTTTTGAGATTTTTATTTTCTATGTTCTGTTATGTTCCTTTGTAGCCCTGTGATCAAAACACCCAGTTTGCAGCGCTCTCGGCGGTCCAGCACCACTTCTGGTCGTACTCCTGCTGTTACCAGTTCAACAGTGGATGACTTTGAAGAACTGTTAGGTGAATTTACTGATGACCGGCTTGAGGATGACTTGGAATTGGATTCGGGCAAGGGAGAGGACGACCTTCTTTTAGAACTCTCAGAGATGATTGACAGTTAGACATGAGCGACGTCATCCCTTTACTACAAAAACACTGCCACTATGAATTTGAAAGGACTGTGACATCATTTAACCCACATCATTTTAAATTAAGGCATATATTTTCAAACTCTAATAGATCTGTTTTAATGTTCCTGTTTACATTTTTTTTCCCCATGTTGATGTAAATATGATTTCTTCCTCAAATAGTGCTTGAGAAACACCAGTTGTGGTGTCCAGGTTTTGTCCTCTTGTTTTATTTTAGTTGACTTCTTAAAGCTGTCAAAAAAGGGAAAAATCTTATTTAGCTGTTGCAGGTATTAACAAGCCATTATAAGACAGCCTCGGGTATAATGATTGTTGAATCAGTCATTATGTATTACAGAGACAGGACGTTTTCAGTTGTGTACTGTGTATGCTGAAAAATAGCTTTTTATTAGAGAGGCACATCAAAGCCACACCTTTTTTAGTCTTCATTTTGAGTCACGTGTATTTATGATCCATTAAATGTTCTTTTGCCGTCATTATCAACATTGTTTTAATAGGTCATTTCGCTCACCTTTGATTTAGTATAGACAAAATATTTTATGGTATTATGGTTTAACGGTCTGGGAGATAGCCGAAGGGCATGGTTTTCCTTTTTCATTTCTGCATAATTTCTGTCACAAATTTTATGCTAAAAGAAATTTCCTTGGAAAATTTCCATCTACACCTTTCCAGCTTGAGAAATTAATATCAAATAATTTTAGCAGGGACGTTCCTTCTCAGACTTCTGAATGAAACCCTTAAATATGAAGCAGTGCTCTCAGGGACAATACTTCAGCTTTGCTTACCTGTATATTTTGTGTTTTCTTTGGAAATGTCCTGCCCACCCGTGTCTTCTCATCTTTGTTTTTATTCACCTTAACTAAGTGACCTCATGCATTGAGGGTATGTAATGTGAAAATGTTTGTGCTGCGGCGCTGCCTGCACTTGTTGCACCTCTTCAAAATCATCTTCGTAAATAAAATGTCTTTATGAGAAAATATTAGTTTCAGTTTTTAGCATGGTTTACCAAGCTTTGCTATGCATTGTACTTTTTAATATTTTTTAGTGTTTCAGGCCACATAATATATTTTACTGTTTTATTTTGTGTGTTTAAATATATTAACTACTTTTATCCCCAGGTTTATGTCCACAAAATGAGAACAGTATAAAAAGCCAGTCTGTCAAAGACTTCTGAGGAACGGAAATTCAGAAATGCTAAAGTATAGTAATAGTCTATTAAATAGCTTCTGATAAATACTTTATTTCACCTTGGTTTTGATACTTTGCCGTTGGTTTGTCATTGGAAGCCTCAGAATGTGTATTCTGTATTTCTTCGATTCTGAGAAAAAGAGAATCGCTATTAAACCCCAAGCCAGCAGGTGGCGGTAAACATGTAACGCTTGCATTACTCTGACATCCTGACCGAAAAAACAGGAAAAAGACAACTGCGTATTATCGCAACTGAAAACTGCAACTCAAACGCTCGTCCTCTGCTGTTGTCATTCTTCCACACAAATAGACAACCATAAACCGAGGATTAAGGCTTTTATAAGCCTGGGAATTCTCCTCAAGTTCTGATTCAATAGCTGGGATGCATAATTTCCCTCTAAATTTTAGCTTGTTTAATGGCAGGTATTGGAAATTTCACAGTAAAAAGGAAGATATATTTATTAGACATAGAAGTGAATTAAGCATCCGGCGAAGATTATTTACGAGGTCGTAAGAATCTGCAAGGGAGGCTTATTTTTTATTTATTTATTATTTTTTTTTTTTTACATTTGAAGGTAATAGAGAGCCGTTTGTTCTCGAAATTGAGAGATTTTTAAAGGGGCTTCTGTAGGAGACATCGAGGTTAGTGGTTATTCGGTTATAACCCAGTATTGGCTAGTTGTTTATTATATATACGTTTATTCTCCAAACTAACGTGCTAAACATTGTTTTGGTTTGGTGTAACGGCAGAATAACTGGCCGATGGTTGTTTATCTAAGAGACTGACATCTAGTGCCGGTAAAGAGTCACTGCAGTTCTGTCAATATATATATATATATATATATATATATAATAAAGTTGAATAAGCCATGAAGCTCCTGGAAAACTCAAGTTTTGAGGCCATAAATAGTCTGCTCACAATTGAAACGGGAGACTGTAAGATAATTGGACGGTAAGTGCTCAATGCTTGTTTTCATAAGTTAAAATTAAGACAGCATCCTTTGAAAAACACATTTTCATATCTGAACACTATCAGATCCCATAAAGAGGAAAGAACATGTCATTCACGCTGTTCTGGTGTTATTTGCCTTTTTTTCCTCAATGTGACTACTGGCACTGTTGTGATGTTTCTCTAGTATTGAGAGCTACTCCTGTAAGATGGCAGGTGATGACAAGCAAATGTTTAAGCAGTTTTGTCAGGAAGGGCAGCCGCACGTGCTGGAGGCTCTGTCTCCTCCGCAGAGCTCAGGAATCAGCCCCAACAAGTAAGTCAAAGACTTTTCTTGAGGTACTGATAAGCATTTCACTGTCATCAACCCCCTCACATAAACACAGTACAAATATCTTCCAGCAGGTCATTGCACATTCACTGAAATATGTTTAATTTTCAGACTGAGTCAGAGTTTGGATGATGGGGAGGGTCCGCTCTCTGACAAGTGCAGCAGAAAGACGCTCTTTTACTTGATCGCCACTCTCAATGAATCCTTCCGGCCGGACTACGACTTCAGTCGCACCAAAGGCCACGATTTCAGCAAGGAGCCCAGTGTTAATTGGGTAATTTTGACATAAAATGGTTACAATTTTTTAAACAACATATGCACTAATTTAACACAATGTTAACTAGAAATTGACAGTAAAAATGTAAATAAATTATGCTTATTCTTATTATTAATAATAAGAATATCTGGGACCCTACAGAGGATAAGTGGTTTGGATGTGTTATTGCAATTATAATATTTATAAATAATACATTTATTTAATATTCCAATATAAAACTATTCGAACAGTTCATATTCTTCTTCTTAATAATAATAATAATAATAATACATGCGAACCTACAGAGGATAAGTGTTTTGGAGAGTGGATAGAAGAATAAATAATGATAACTGTGTTTGTGAAAATGTGGAGGGACATTATAAAGCTATTTAAAAAACTGTTATAAAACCGAGGTTTATTAAATGGTTCATGATTTCCACAGGTGTTTAATGCAGTGAACAGCAGTTTGTCTGCTGCTGCTGGTGAGGCCTACAGTCACCTACAGCCTCAGTTATGGGAGGCCCTAGACAAGGAGATCAGTCTTGCTGAATGTGACATATACAGGTAGATATTCTTCTTTCAAACCCATGTTCAGTCAGGTTTGCCTAGAATTTGCTGAATGCTTTTGATTTTGAATAGTGTTTGTTTGAATAATACAGCTGCACTAAATTTATTAAGTATGCTTTAAAAAAAGTTCTGATTGCATTCTGTGACAGCTACAATCCAGACCTGGATTCAGACCCTTATGGGGAAGAAGGCAACCTGTGGTCCTTCAACTACTTCTTTTATAACAAAAGACTGAAGAGGATTGTGTTCTTTACATGCCGTTCTGTCAGGTGAGGATCTGTATGTCAGGGAGAAAGCAATTTAACATCAACATATAAAAAAGAAAAAACATAAGAAATCTTTTTAATGATAGAGATAATGACTTTATTATAGATTGCGTGTTATGTTATGTTTGGGTGGAAGAATACTTTTATTCAGCAAGGATGCATTAAATTGATCAAAAGTGACAGTTAAGATGTTTATAATGTACAAAAGATTTCTGTTTCAAGTAAATGCTGTTCTTTTGAACTTTCTCTTTATCAAAGAATCCTGAAAAAAGCGTATCATGGGTTCCATGAAAATACTGAGGAGCATTAATAATAAGAAGAAATGTTTATTCAGCACCAAATCATCATATTAGGATGATTTTGAAGGATCCTAATATTTTTACACTGTTATTTTATATTTTTGTGATATTTCATAGTATTATTTTTTTGACAGTGTTTTTGATCAAATAAATGCTGCCTTATTGAACATAACAGACTTCTTTTAAAAAAAAAAAGTAAAAAATCTAACTGGCCTTTTGAATGGTAGTCTATATATACTATATATTTTACACTATTATTATGAAATATCTTATAAAAAATCAGCAGGTCCAACTTGGAAAAAAATTCAAGTGAGCTCTGACTTTTTGTATTTGTGGTCCTTTAGTCTTTTCATGGCTCCACGAGACTCTGGCATCAGCACTGAACTGGATCTAGAGTTGGATGAGGGCAGCTATGAGGAAGAGGAAGAGGGCAACATGGATGAAGAGAGGTGAGGAACTATGCAGACTTCACCGTTATTAATTGTTAACACTTCTCCAGGAAGTACTGCATTGCTTTATCGTCATTCAGATGTGACAGAAAAATGACTGCAAATAAATCATGTGGTTCCAGTGTATTTGCTAGTGGAGGGCCAACAGTCAGCCAGAAGTATCATTGCAGTGTAACTGCTTACAATTACTCTGATATTACTAGCCTGACAAGCAGTGGCTGGTGTTATTGAAGTCAGTGATAGATTGATGGCTCTTTCCACAGGTATGGTGCACTGTGTGCCTGATGAAGCCCTCGTCCCTGTCATCTGAAGCCAGCATCTCTTGCCTGCGTTTTAATGCCTGTTATCCTTTTCTGTTTCTTGTGTGTTCATTTTATATACTGTTGGTCATTTCTTAGAAATGGAGAGGTGTTGTAATCCAGAGATGTTCAAGTGCTATTAATTGCTTAATTTAATAGCACTTGATAATTAATTATCAAGTCCTATAATTAAATAATTTTATTTTTTCATTTCCAAAGAGGTCATTTTTCGTTGTATCCGAGTGCAAGTTACCCAAACCTCATTTATGAATTCATGTTCATTATTTCCACTCGTTTTTATGGCTCCATGAACTTCACAGCAGTATTTCCACTAGGTGGCATCCTTCAACATCTTTGTCACCTGTCTCTGGTCATTTTTGACTGCTTATTTTACTGCTTGACCTTTTTGAGACGTCATAGTTAACATTTAAATTTGAGTTTCCATATTTGTTAGGCCTACACATGCTCATAACTCATATTTCTGTTATTATATCAGCATCACATTTTCCCAATTTTTTTTCTCTAATGATTATAATAGAAGTTAATAGATGAGTGTAATTTTTTTTTAGGACTTGATACATTTTCCTGCAACTTTCTTGCCTCAGGAAAAATGATATTTAAATAGATATCAGCGTAAGCGTCACCTGGTAGATTTATTGGTGTCTTGACCTACAAGTCAACTTCCGTTTTTAGTTGCGCCCCCAATGCTAATAAAAATGTGAAAGGAAAACCACGATGGGTCTGTAAAGTTTAGTTTTTCTAAAGCTTTTATTTGTTGTTACTGTTTCTAAGTTGGATTTTGTAACATTTGTGAGGTGTACTTCGGCTTTCTTCCATGAAAACCTGTTTGTGGTGACTTGTTTTCATTGTCTGACAACACATTTGACTAAAATTACTCTTTATATTCTTTGCTGATGTGTTTTTAGCTGTAGATCTAACATGGTTCTGTGGAAGGATATTGATATCCATAAACTTTGATTGGGTGTCAGAGGCTGTTACTGAATTTTATTGTCCCATTTGACATCGTATTGCTTGATATTGAAAGAATTTGATCAGATTTAGTGCTGTTGCTTAGTCTTTCTACTCTGGCTTGAATTGCACTTACTCATGATGACCGCTATAGATCATATTGTCCACTGTTATGTGTTGGAGGGCCTCTTGAAGATCTGGCCATATGTGAAGTCGCAATCTTCATTTCTTTTCTGTTTTAGATTTGATTCTGACCTATCTATGTTTGTAATTTCGAGCACTTTTATGTATTACAGAGTTGCACCAGTATAAGAAAAGGATATGAGCAGAGAAATGTAAGATCACTTTTGGTGTTCACTTCATAGATTATTTCTACAAATGTTTTTGGAGTAATAGTCCTACAAAAACAAGGATGAGCACCATTGGATGCAGATTTATGCATTAATGATACATTAACATTTACTTCTTGGCAGCTTAACATATTTTTATGAATATCCTTTTAAAGAGCATATTTGTTATTTTCAAAATGCTGTGTCAAAATAAATATCTACTGATTTAATGTGCACTGATTGCGATTTTTACTTCAGAAAAACCTTGCTGGGATTAATACGTACTGCTGTTGTGAGATTTTTGTGCTGAATGCGAATATTTTAATATTATTAAGCAGGTCACATCTGATAATGAATCATTAATAAGCAACAATGGAGTCTTGATTTTTCATTTTATTTGTACTGGCAACAACAAAATACTTGTTTGTAGGTACATCACCCCTTGAAACAACAACAAATGTAGTGTCCACTTCTCACTAGTAACAAAAAGATATCTACAAAAGGACAAGTACTTTAACAAACAAAGGGTCAAAGCATTGCATGCAGGCATCACAAACGATAACGTATGTAAAGCCTTTGTTTCACTCAACAGGCACACCTCTAAACCATTATATGGACGTTTCCTGTAGCGCATGATGTGCCCCACATCCCTTCAGGGGTAAACCTGCTCTGCAGCACAAATACATAGTTTAACAGACGGAAAGACATTTACAAAAGAGAATCGCAGAAAACACAGAATCCTTTTGAATTCTTAACATGAAAAGGAAATATGAGCACTTGTGCTGACCCGCTGCAGATACACACGCTCGGACTGGTGGGGGGGAACTCAAATCTTTGGTACTTTAACAAGTCCAACAACAACATTGGCTGTTTTACTGGAAAAAAGGCACTTTAAATAGTCAAATCTGTATTTTCCACTGCAAAAATATGTAAACAGTACATAAAGGCACGAAGTGTGCATCAAGTATACCAGGAATTAAGTTAAAGGTTCTTTCATTTACACAACATGGGTGTACAATGGGAAATCCATGCACTGATTAGACAATACTGATGTTAAAATTGTGTGCAGCAGCCTCATGATATTCTTTCAGGACCGAAGCTGTGCCGTGAGCAAACGTCTGCTAGGAAAGCAGCATTTTTTTGCCCTCCGAGTGTCGTTTTCTTGGAGAGATAACCACAAATGGATATTTTCAGAGGTAAGAAACACAGTTACTTCTGCTTGTAAAGACTACACGGTCAGTCTTTTGCCGGTCCTGAACACCTCACTGGGTAAAAACAGCACTGCTATTAACCTGCTATAGTTTCTGGAATCTCTTCCATTTGATGCCCTTGAACTCTGCATACCTTATGAGACAATCTGTCTTTCTCCATAGAATCCAATCCCCTGATTGTGGGTAAACAGAATGAAGAAGGCTCATTAACAATCTCCATTATCATTTGGTTCAAAATCAGGCACCACCTGGTCTGTCGAGTGTCTGGTGCTGGAGTGCTGGTTGAGGGATACGTTGTTGTTACAGTGGAGCCATGGGTGGAGGAGTATATCTCCAGCCTCAAGCCTCTCCGAGGGAGATTTCCTCAGCATGCAACACACCAGCGACTTAGCCCTGGGTGAAAGAGTCTCTGGGATGGTGAACGCACCCCTGCGAATTTTGCTGAACAGTACTGTGGGTTCCACGTCCTGAAATGGATAACGTCCTACTAGCATGGTGTAGAAAACAACACCAAGGCTCCATACGTCGGCAGCCTTCCCTGAGTACGAGTGCCGTGAGTTTAAGATCTCTGGGCCGACATAGGCCGGGCAGCCATGTTTGTCCGTCAGCGAATCGTCATTCCCGTTAATAAGACAGGAGTCCTCCAGGTTTTGCAAGACCAGCTTTGTTCTGAGGAACCAAAAGAACATCTATCAGCCACCTGATAACTAGGTTCTACGTTTATAAATGGAAAATATTTGCTAGATGAGCAAGATAAGGTAACACTTATGCAATTCATACAGGCTGTAATTAGTGTAAATATAACATTGTATGCACTTCCAAATTTGTAAAAAAAAATACAATAAAATTAAGGAATGATGCATATAACACGCATATATTTTTATTAGAATATTATATTTTAATATAGTTATATATTGTAACTACATTTTATATGAATCTATAATTATTTTATACATTATATAGTAGTTAATAGTTGATATAAAAAAAACTTATCTTTATTAACATCTGTTTATTTCTCAATACTATATATTTAAATTTAACAGCAACTATAAAAAATTATTAAATTATTATTTTTTTAATAATCTTACAACAATATAATGTACAGAGTAAAAATGGATTTTAATTTTGAGGCTTAAATTATTAGTGCTTTTAAAAATAAACATCAAGTTTGCATTAGATGACAACAAAGGTAATCGGAATTTTAAAAATAGGGGAAATTAGCATGCACAATTAATAATTGTGCATTCTAGAAAAAAAACAAAAAAAACTTATATTTGCTGATAACTAAAAATCAAGTGCAGACTTGACTTGACTAACTAGTAATTAAAGAATAAATTTGAGTTACTGACCTCTGTGGATCGGTAAACACAAACTTGCGCAGTTTAAGGTCTCTTAAAATGACGCCATTCTCGTGACAGTGCGCAACCGCAGCTGCCATCTGGCCGAACAGGCGCACTGCTTCATCCTCCTGCAGCCTCTTGCAGGTGCGCACGTACGAGTGCATGTCTCCATAGTTACGCTCAAAGAATATGTACAAGTTGTTCTCCCCGAGCACCACCTCTGAAATCTTGCAGATGTTACTGTGTGGAAGCAGACGTGTGTAGGGTGCTATGAACTCGTGATACTTCTTAATGGAAAACACCTGGTGGGAACATACCAAAACAAGATGATTAATGATCCTAAAGTTCCATAACTTTTATTAATAGAAGATATTTCAAATCCACTATTATGAAGCATCTATGCTCACCTTGCATGTGTACTCCTGTTCAGTGACCTGATGAACCGCTCTGAACGTCTGAGCTCCTTCTGCGGCTTCCAGCAGGATGTAGGGTCCGATACGCGAGACGTGGTGCTTCTCTGACCCCGGCTGCTCAAGGCTCTGGGACAGGGGGCGAAGACAGGGCGTGAGACCCGGGGAAGGAGGCTGGCTGAGCCTGCGGCGCTTGCATTTGAAGGTATCGGTGTTGTGAGAGTCCTCAAAGTCTACTCGCTTCAGTCGCAGTGGAGGTGTAGGAGTTGACAGGTCCATACTCATCTGTGACAAAAACAAATCAGTGTAAGTTCATGGCCTTGTGACAGCATGACTTAACATACCATAAAGGCTGATTGAATGAAGAAGGTAACAGGGAAAATTGATCAAATGAGTGCATATGGTTATTGCCGCACACTTAAACACTCAGTAACCGTGGGATAATCTCTCACACACTAACTAAACCAGAATGGGAGGTTCATTAACATTGTGTAATAAAAGGAGGTGATTTAAAACGGTTGAATGGCTATGTGATGAGCAGTGCTGCTAGATCCTACTGACTCAAGGTCCTCTCGAAATGCTGCTCGGCGCCTGTGAGTCATACAGTGTTTAAGTTATTACACATTCAAGCATACCTCATAGAATGACGTAGCCTAGTTTCTTCCACTTCACCATTTTTAAACTAAATTTTTGTCCCCCTAATAAAAATATTAGTATTAATATTAATTCAATATTAGTTTTAATATTTTTCGTCACTGTTAAGAAGACAGTTTTTAAACATGTGCGCGTGTGAGTCTCGGAACTTGACGCAGGGCTCGTCGGACTCGAACCTAAATCCCCAGAATGAGCGGTTTTCAGCATATGGGTCAACCGCTACGTCAACGTTCATAGTTAAATAAACAATGTAAGTAATATGCTCAAAATGCTCAATAGATGGATGTGAAATCCAAGTTGACAAAGTTCAAACAACAGCAGGCGCTGCATCACTTTCCATGTAAAGTTTAACCACTGAAGTGTTTCTCAATAATCGTTTAAATGGGAAAGTTGGTCAATAATTGAACTAATCTTAAGGACTCTTGGTTGGAGATACTAAATGGTGATTTCTAGAGGTTAGTGTAACGCTTAAAGGTTTACAGGACTTACCTCGCAGCTTTAGACAAAGGACCCGCTCCTCTTCAAAACAGAACAATGAACTTAGTTGTGTCTACTTGTCAGAGAACATTTCCACCGGGGAAAAACACGAAATATTATGAAATGAACACTGGGGAATTGTCAGCCGTAGTTAAGTCTCGGCATAAGAGAGAAAATGTCGTCTCCAATGAATGCAGAATAAATATGAGTCAGTTTGAAAGGACGCGCGTGCCTTTTATACAGTAGCTGACTTGAAAAGTATCTCCGACTTCAATGTGTTTTGCAGATATTAATGCACATTTAGCCTCTTTTCGTGTGTAATCTGTCTTTTTCTTTGCTTAGTAGATTGAGCAGATTGGTACTTGTGAATCTGGCGGCAACACCAAGAGATCTCCAGTTGTTGGCACGAATGTCTTTGTTCCTTAGTCCCGCTGAATGAACGAGTCCTGCATGGACAGTATTTCCTTGGATCTTGATTTTCACTGTTTGGTCAAATATCCTTTAGTGGTCGAATGAAGTCCGATCGTTCACGCTGAATATCGGACGAATAAAACTTGATAAGATGCTGTTAAACGTAACGTTACTTAACTGAAAGTTTTGCCATCCGAAATACAAGGAAATGTCCGAGGAAAGTTGAACTAGAGGACGCGTCCGAATTGGTGACAGCACAGAAATGAAAAAGTAGTCCTTTAGTTGGTCTTTTGTTGCTGCCGCAATAAACGGTCCCTTTAGTAATGAGATAACAAATCAGACGTGGCCCCTCAGCCTGGCCGTCCGACTGTAAAGTCTCACTTTGGCTGGGCACGTCTAATATGCTCCGTGTGTTACACCAGCCTGACTCGATGATGCTGTTCTTAGAAAGATTGCGACACCTTGGCTCCGCCCCTCGGGTCTGACGACATCTAGTACGGAGCTTGGCAATAGTACGCACTACTGTTGAAGTTTGCAAGGGCCGGGTGGATTGCAAACACAAAGCGTGGCGTTTAATGGAAATGTTAAGCCAGTTTTACACAGTAAACACCGCTGAACTGACCACAGTACTTTGACAGTTTCCAAAGCAGCGAATATTTAGTGCACAGTGTAGTTTGCTTTCAACATAGCATATATAACTATTGTTATATTTAACGGCGAGGGAAAATAACGCAGGAAAGAAAGCGATGTGATAGATCGTGTAAATGTACATGAAAGCGTGCGAAAACCGTGCTATATGTGTTGCTATATATATAGGTTAGGTTTGTTCTTTTTGCCGTTGTGAACATTAATGCCCCACCCCTGTGTATGACTCAATACTAATGTTGGTGTTGCACATCAAGTGTTTGTCAGGGTGACGTGCAGGTAGCTGACAGATATAGAACAAAATACAACCCCACAGAAAAAAATATATATATGTATCGTTTCTCCAAAATAGAAATAATATTAAATGTAGAACTTGTTTTTCATAATACGAACCCATAGAAAAGAAATAGGCCTATGTATTGTTTCTCCTTAATATAATAATATTAAATGGAGAGCTTGTTTTCAGATTTGCAGAAATGCCAAAAGTCAGACATTTCAGTATGAATTCAAACATTTTTCATCAAATTCTACCATATTTTATGCTATATAAGTTTTACCACTAACTGTTGGTCAACAATTAGGCCTGTTTGTAGTCAAGCTTTTAAATAATTGAAATATAACTTCAGTGAAACTCATTTAAACCTCATTGAGGTAAATTTCCTTGTTCAGTGAGCTAATTATATTCTATTACAAATCTTAACCTAATCCCA